TTTAATAAAATATAAAGTTTAGAACATATTTAAATTGCTTTATATAGCAGAAAAACTTGATCACGGTGGCACAGATAAGAAACATAACGTTTCCTTGAGATGTGAGAATAACAAGCACAAAAATTTGACGGCTAATAATCTGAGGTTTGCCTGTGTAAACGGGGTGATTAAAAAACGGGCTTAGTTTGAGATAATATTTATATGTGAACATACTTTTAGGCGTAAGGGTGTCTCTCAGAGAGAGAGAGAGAGAGCAAATCTTATAAACTTACGACATCAACTCAACATTTGAAAACACTTTTACATGTTTGGCTGTAGCTGAGTGTGCAAAGATGCTTGATACAATTGGTTGCTACCAAGGCTGTCCGGGTTCAATCCATCAGACGGAACATGGACCTAATGTTTTCTTTTATTCTTAATTATGAAAAAACCAAACGTGTTAATTTTATATGATCTATAAGCCTTATTATAAGGTAATTATACTCCACGTAAGGCCTTATCTTAAGGGCTTATTATAAACCGTATGATCATATAAAATAAGCTTTATATAAGGCGCAAATTTTTTGGAGGGGTTATACGGTAGGTGAACAGTGCTCATAAATCCCTCGCGAACAAATCTTGTGGAACGAAGAGTTTGTTATCAGTAACAGCTGATTTTGACAGCTCTCATTTGTTAAAAATTTAACACATTTGCATAGAATCCACACTGAAGTGATAAACAAAGCTCTTTTAATAAAAAATATGGCTTTAATTTTTAAATATTAGGATACATTTTTTTACGTTTTCTACACAGTATGAAGCATTACAAGTTAAATACGCATCAAAAGTCTTACAGTGGTAAGTTATTTTTGCCTCCGTTTTCAAAGCGGTGTCATAGCATATACATATGTACATACAAATCTATGTACTATCCTATTCCAGATGCTGATTTACTGATAAATCAGAAAGAGCATCCTGACACTAAATTGGGCGATGTAGTCGAGGTCTATGACCGAGAAGATGAAAATACTCGGTTGCTCCTACAAATTACGAAATTCAATGATCTTAGGCGCGATGAAATCAGCATTGAAGCAGGCATAGCCACGCAGTTCAATTTAAGGAAGTTTGCGTACGTATTTATGCGCCGCGTCAATGCAAATGATGTAGCGCTTGACTCTATTGAGATAACGTTTAAGGATCAATACATGGGTAGATCCGAAATGTGGCGTTTGAAAACGTATTTGGTAAGTGTACACCGTATGGTCGTATTGTAGGTATATACTCATATACTAAAAATTGGTACATATATACATATGTATATATCTATACACATATTCATATATGTGTGCTTATAATTACTTTAATATAATATATTATATTAAGGGTCATTCAAAATCGGAATAGATTTGAGTATAATGCACCCGAAATACAATCGCGCTTTTTAGGCTAAACTAAAAGTTATTGGTAAAGATATAGACATAGTGGCTTCTAAATTTAGTAGCAGCTTTTTGGGCAGATATTACATTGATAATTATGTCAAAAAGCTGCAACTAACTTTAGTGTCGTGTTTATTTTGAATAGGAATGTGCCCCATTGTTTCCAAAAATTGCAGATGTTTGACAAACTTAACAAAATTAAAAATCACGACGAATTTTCGTCGAGGTTTTCTGAATTCAAGTAGTTATCGGAAATACTCAAATTTATTATGGATCCTGATGTGACTTGTACAACTGAACTCGTTTAAGTTTGATTGGCTGGAAATCGAAGATTTTGAAATGCAGCTGATTGAGTTCCAGTGTAATTCAATATAGACCAAAAACTTAGTCGAATTAAAATGACCATCGGCCAATATGAGCGAAAATGCGAATACTAAAATTTTGGAAACATGGAATTCAATTCCCTGCTGAAGTCTAGAAAAAAGAAGTCTGATGAAGAGATGTGGTGATCTCCGCTTTGTAAACAAATACAGCTTTTAACAATAAAAAATAATGAAAAACAGGTTGCTAGAAAACGTGTCCTCCTGAAAGATTTAAAAAAAATGACAACATATTTGCACACTAAGCCAGCGATAAATATATTAATATGTATATCTTATATCTTAGAAGTACTACTGTAGAAACCGGTTCTTATAAAAAAGGATATTTTTTATTTTTATTTTACTAGACGAACACTTGCGTTTACATTAATAAGAAAATCGAAAATAACGAAATGCAAATACGTTGCCAAGTTTATGAGATGTGGGCTCAGGGTGAACGTGTATCCTGCGGCGTTATCACAGAGGACACAAAAATTGTGTTTCGTAGCAGCACATCAATGGTATATTTGTTTTTGCAAATGTCATCCGAAATGTGGGATTTCGATATACACGGTGATTTGTATTTCGAAAAAGCAGTTAATGGTTTCCTCACTGAACTTTTTCACAAATGGAAAAAGTTAGGCTGCAACCATGAAGTAACCATGGTATTGTTCTCTCGAACATTCTATGCAGCGAAGTCTCTTGATGAGTTTCCGGAACATATGCGTGACTGTCTTCAGTTGGATTATAAGGGTCGTTTCTATGAAGATTTTTATCGTGTTGCTATCCAAAATGAGCGCAATGAAGATTGGTGTACCGTACTAACGCAGCTACGTAAGCTTTTCACCTCATACGAATCGACAGTATTACGCTATCATGAGCGTGAAGGGGTGTGTATACCTACAGCTAGCAATTCCACAGCGGCTCAAGGCAACTTTTTGGAGGTATTAAATATTTCCTTGAACACCTTCGAGAAACATTATCTGGATCGTACCTTCGATCGAACTGGTCAGCTGTCGGTAGTGATCACACCTGGCGTTGGAGTATTTGAAGTTGATCGGGAATTGACGAACATAACTAAACAAAGGGTAATAAGTACCTTGTGATGATTTTTTTTTTTTTTAAATAAATAGCTAATTGTTCTCTTGTTTGCAGATAATTGATAATGGTGTTGGCAGTGACTTAGTATGCGTAGGCGAGCAACCTTTACATGCCGTTCCACTTTTGAAATTTCATAATAAGGATACTTCATTAACATCAGCAGATGATTATTCACTACCACATTGGATTAATCTGAGTTTTTACTCTACTAATAAAAAAGTGGCTTATTCAAATTTTATACCGCGCATCAAATTGCCCCCAATCGTTGCAAACGTTTCTTTGAATGAGGAAGACAGGGTAAATTTTTTGTTTAATTTAATTCACTAAATAAATATGCTTAATTCTATTCAAGGAAAGTGAAAAGTATTTTTTAAGTTGCAATCAATCGGAGTATATACATAATTCCTTGTTTGACTATGATGCTTATGATGATCAAATATTTCAACCACCGCCAGCGCAAGGCACTTGGTATGTAAATGTAAAACATTCGCACTTATTCTTTTATGCAATGTTTATTTAAAATAGTTCTTTACAACGTGTGATACGAGCCAAAAAGACATCTGTGCCAAGTTTGGAGACGTCTGTATACCGAAATCATGACTGGGAAAACTTAACACCAACAAAAATACCAAATTTACGACGTAAAATGTCCGATCCTGACATATATCATGGCACTTCAGGAATGTTAGCGGCATTGGTAGCTATAAATTAATAGAGTTTTTATAAACTAATAAATAATACAATTATAATTTTCCATCTTTAGACTGATTCGTCAAACTTATCTGAATCATTGGCGTCCGATAAAAATGCGCGTCGCTCTATTGTTTCAATTGCTCCTATTGTTCGTCCTGGACGGGCATTGATCAATCCATTTGATCCATCGCATGTTACAATCAAACTTACATCAAATCGTCGGCGTTGGACGCACATATTTCCAAAGGTGAATTAGTTTTCCAACTTTCTTTGGTATAACTCCAAATAGTTTTTTCATTCACTATATGAAAGTATAAAAGAAAAATGGACCAGCAATAACATTAACACTTTAACGAATAATATTCATATAGTCGTTGAAATGCAAAAAAGCCGTAACTGACTAAAATTTTGTATTGCTTAAATTGATGTGGGCCTTATAATTCGATGAAATACTTCATAATCAATCAAAACGGAAATTTCGGATTTTTACTTAGTTACGGTTGTATTTCAGCGACGATGTGAAATAGGGCCTTTCAATATTAAGGTAACGATATTTTTGTTATTAATCTTCCAAGGGGCCAACGGGTGTTTTAATACAGCAACATCATTACCAAGCGGTTCCTGCTAAACCGCATAACATCAGCTATAGCAATATTATTAATAATGATAGTGAATATGCACTTGGATATAGCACATATGATTATGATCACACATCTACATGTTCTTCGTTAAATAAGTCAATTGCATCCTCTAATGAAGGCGAAAAAATTGAATGTAAGTTTGACAACATTTTGGCGTTATAGCCGAAATGCAAAAAAATACAAAAGTATGTATATTAACTTTTATTTTCAGTATTCAAAAAACGAAATAACTCAATTTTAAATAATAATCCCGTTAATGTAACAACCGGCGCTGCAGTACCCACAAAAAGTTATCTGTGGGGTGCCACTGGTGAACAGGAGTGGACGCCAGCCATAACGACAGGTATGCTCTTACTAACAATCATTAGCCAATACTTTCAGAGTATTTAAAGGATCATTGTAAGCATTAACACATAATGAAAGTTAATAAATTCTTAAATGATATGTCTTTGAGAAGTTCATAAAAACGCATCTTACTTGTGTCAAATGTCTTAAGAAAAATTAAAATATTTCAATCAAGATGTATTAAACAAGGTGGTCAAGGTGTATTAAACAAGGTGGTGTTGGGGCGACAGCTGAGTTTTTCGCCGTGGAGGCCATTACGTCAAAATGATGTGTTTGTTGTAACTCATACCAATGACAGTATGGACATCAGCGTATAATTTGTTAGTGTAATTTTTTACTTATATACGGCCAACACCACCTTGTTAAATACGCCTTGATTTCAATATATTTTTCTCTTTAGATAGCTTTTGTCTGTTTACTAAAAACAAATGTGTTTTACTACTCCTTAAATTATGTTGCTTTATCAATACAAATCTATTTAGGACTGTTTTCACATTCCTGTGATTCATTCATTTTAATTTAAAAAACTGAAAAGCTTAAATAAAAAAATGTTTTTGTGTGCGCTTTCATATAATCATCAGACCGGCCGTCCTAATCTTTAGGGCATGTTTACATAGACGCACAATCATAAATTTACATACATACCTATATACATTTAATATATAGAACAAAGTATCACTACAAATTAAGAAGAAATCAAGCCGATTTCTATGGATAGAGCTCATTTTAGAATATGTTTTTCCAAAGATTTACACATTTTTATTGAATACTCAAGCTATTGCATTGAAGTTATCCCTTCTGACCTCAAGTCAATAATAATAAATATAGGTGAAAAAGTTCCAAAAGTGTTATATGGTCCAAATGATCAATGCTTAAGTTATATCACTAACCACAATAACTTTACTTGTATGTATGTCGTAAAGTATTATACAAAGTCTTGAATTAAGGAACAAATCATGTGACTGATATGTATTAGGAACTACTCAATATTCGAGTTTTGGTATACAGCATTAAATGTAGTTTTTTTAAGATAAAATTTGTTCTCAGATTTTGAATCAAAACATGTTATAGTGAACAAATTAAGCCGTTTTCATGTTTCCCTCTCGAATGAGAGTTAAGTCGTCACTTTGAAAACGGACTCAAGAATCTTCAAAGTGCTCTTTACGTTTTTTTTTTTGAATTTTTAATAGGCACCCTATTTCTTAAACGAATTGAATGGAATGAAGCAATTTTAATGATTTATTTAAAAAAAAAGATATGTTTTTTTTTTTTTTTTGTACAGAACGTTTAGTTAGCGATTTCATTGCATACGCGTATGCATCTACTTTTGTATTTTTGGCTGACTAGTAAGGTTTTAGCCAAAGTCTGTTGTCGCTGTCATCATTTATCATGTTAACATTTTGTCTCAAAAGCAAAGAAAGACATTTCAATCATTTTGTAGTTGTTCGTGCAACCAAAGGGCAACCGTGCAACATCATACAGTATTATATACAAACATAGCAGTAAACAGAATTTGTATTGCATTTTATTGAAATTATCCATACTATTTGTACTGATTACATTAATACGTAAATTTCTCATGACAATGTTAATACTAATTGTGTTATTTATCTTTTTTCATTTTTTTATGTTTTTCATACATTGTGGAAAAATTTTGTGTGAACGTGCAAAAAAAAACAAATATATTATCTCTAAAAAAAAACAAACACCTTATTTAACAATATTTTAAACACCATCTCCAATCAACGTTAAAAAAAAAATAATAATTAATACAACCAAAAATTGAGTGCATAACTTTTTCTGGCCTTCAAATTCCCTACTACCAACATATGAATGAAAAGTGAATGCAAAAGCGGGAAAACAATTAAATCCCATAGTTGAAACAGAAGCTCCATTTGATAATGAGTGCGCAAACGCAGATGGCAGAGGAAAAATAATAATAGGTTTGCAAAATAGACAAATACATATTACTGCAAATGTTCTCGTAATATTTTAACAAGTTGCACCATTATTTTTAAAAGGCTTAAATTGTACAAAATCGTTAAAAGCAACAAAATGTGCAGCATAATTCAAGCAATTTGGATGTGTGTTCGCGCAAGTGGAATGCTTTTTGCTTTTATTTAAAAAAAAAAAAAAACACACACACACACAGAAGAAATATGTATGCCGATTAACTAAAGTGTTAAAAATATCAACAAAAGCATGCACCGACTTGCTTGGCTTACACTGTATATTAATATATTATGCTTACAAGTGCACAAAGTAGTATATATTAGCACATATAATAAATATTTGTATGTATGTATGTAATCAGATAATTTTTTAGTAGTCGTAGTATTTTTTACTTTAATTTTCGTAATAGACTTATGCATACATTTTTAAATACATACATACATACATACATACATATGTGCATATTTATGTATTTAAATTGTAGGATTATTTTGGTTATTTGTGTTGAAGTAGTTTTGGGCCAGTTGCATTTTTCGACTCATATTTAAATGCGCTTTTCTTACTTACAGGTAGTTATTGTTTTTGATAGTAACAGTAATTTGTACACAGGATACAATTTGTTTGCTTACATTAATCAATTTACAATGGGTTTGTTTACCAAATAGACGAATAAGAACACATATTGAATGACAAACAATTTGCACCAATACATCACATGCACAACACATACACACCAACTATTGTATATGTGACCTATTATATGCACTTTTAATGGAAAAGGAATTTCATCAATTTACACAATTCATTTAGTATGGCGTATCCATTACCATATTATTGATATGTATTTTATTGGAAAGATGCCTGCATAAATCACTTGTATAGGTATTTCGTTTAATGTCTAGATTAAGTAATCAGTCTCTAGTCATAAAAGTGACTTCACACAATTAGAGAAAAGGGCTCATCTCCTTCTTATTTTCGGCTTGGGCCGAGACCAAACAACTTTTAAGATGTCCTCTCTTCTTTGTGAACAGTTGTTCATTCCGAGCGCAGACAGACAAATGTCTTTCTTTCGTTATCAACCCACAGGTGCCGAGTGAAAGTACATTGACTACGTGACAAAGACGAAACAATACTTATAATCGGCGTCAAAGTTTTAGGCGCAGTAGTTAAATCAATGGGTATGCGATGAGTTTTGTCATTCGTGTGGGAATAGAGCCGTAGAGCTCGGTTTTTTTCTAATGCTAAAAAATAAGCCGAAAAATATTTTCCATTATAACTATGGGGTGATTCAATAAGACCGCAGATGTTCGCAATAGAGCCATCGTTGTATGCGCTACGTGGCAAGTGGCACCTTCCTGTTGAAACCACATATACACACCAAGCCCAATGTCATCTAATTCAATTCATAAAAAGTTTGTTATCATGTCACACTAACGTCCGTTCACCATGACAGCGTTACCGGCATCATTTTCGATGAAGTACGGTTCGATGACTCCGCCAGCCCAAAAACTAAATCAAACAGTGACTCGTTGTGGGTGCATAGTTTTTCTTGCCGTGGGTGCAGTTTTCCAAAGCATGTAGTACCAATTATTTGAATTGAATCACGTAAATTTCATTTTCGCAAGGTATGTATTTGCATTTTAAGTTTGCACTGAGAATAAAAAAATGCAAACTTTAACAGGGAAATAAATTAAAAATAAAAGATTTTTTGTAAATTATTTTGATTTTGTTAAAGTCTATTCTTTTGCAAAAACATCAAGCTATCAACGAAGAAAATTGATTGGTAAATAAAGTGGAAAATGGTCAAATGTAATGAAATATGTATGTATGTATGTCTAGAAATGAATGGGGGTATTGTTCACAGTCTTGCAAAGCCCTCGAATGGTGCACGGTTTGCAAAGCTGTCCCATACGAAAACCGGTTTTACCGTGCAATCTGTGCACCATGCAATTGCTTTGCAAGACTCAGAAAATACTTCTAATGTTACTCATACGCCAAGTATGATCCCAGCCAGCAGAGAAACGTACTTTTTGCCGAAAGTTCAGTTTTCGTACGTTTTTCATATCCGGAAACGTTCAGAAAACGGTTTCCATATTTGTTCATTTTTTGTATCCGAAATATGCCATCATCTTATTTCAAAACAATGATTTTAAAATATTTGTTCAAACTGAGCATTTGAAAACATATATACGTATTCGCTAGTAGCTGAGTGTGCAGAGAAGTGTGCTACTATTTGTTAGCTTTCAGGAGGTTCCAGGTTCGCATTCCGTCAGAAGCCACATATAAAAATTAGTTATTCAAATTGAAATAACTACTGAATCTTTCTGTGAAGTTCATAATGAAATCGTTTTCAACGAAAAATTGAATCAGACGAATTTCAGGAAAAGAGCCGAAAGCGCACCCGTTTTACAACCATTTTCGATAGTTTTCTGCACATATGTTTCGGATGAGCATTTTGTGGGATAATTGATCTGAAAAACGTCCTAAAACGGAATCGGAAAACGGATGAAACATCAGATTTTTACACGAAATTGTTTCCATTTTCGGATACGTTTCCGGATATTTTGCTGGCTGGGATCTATTAATGAAATCATATGTATGTATATTTGTGTCGAAGTTGAGAGATTCATCTAATAATTTGGAGTTGAAGGAGCAAATATATGTTAATTTTAATAATAATATATAATGAATTGACGCTTACACAATATGTTAATGTTTCGCCGAGCTTCTCCTCCGATTTGTAGCTTGATGTTGTCACACAAAGCGGAGGGACGTACAGTTTTACGGCGATTCCGAACGGCGATTGTATTTTTATGAGAAGCTTTTTTTCTTGGCAGAATACATTCGGAGGTTTGCAAATGCCTTCCGAGGGGCGACGGTTCCATGGATGCCACTATCCGATCTTATGAAAAATTGCTCATTGATTCCGAAAATCGAGTTAATTTTTCCTAATGGATCGGTTTTTTGAGATAATTGCAATTTACTGCTATTCAGCTAAAAAAGGTGGCTCCCCTTATTTACGTATAATTTACGAACCAATTGATTAATCGTAATACGAAATATGGCAAACAGCGTTGCCGAATTGACGATTTGGACTCAATTTTGACGTTTTTTTTTTAGCTCAATGTAAAGCTGTAGATCCCTGTACTTGTGTGACAACATCAAGACGCACACCACAAATTTGGGGAAGAAGCTCGATCAAACACTTATTTATTTACTCAAGTAAAGCGTGGTTGATGTATGTAATGCTGCATATTCATTCGGCATTTAATGGAAAAAAAAATTTGAATGACAAAGTTGGGCGTTAAAAAACCCGCGTCATTGCACTCATAAAAATAGTCATTAAATTCGTTTCCAAATACTTAGCATTTTTTAAATGGGGAAATTTTTTTTCATTTCAATGGCTAGTAAAAATCCGCCATAATGACATTGAAAACATAACTTCTATCCAACAGGCTTCGAACCGTACACAGTCGCTTGGTAGACGAACCCCGAGTAAGGTGAAGTGCATACTTACATAATATGATCGTTTTCACAATACTACGCATATTTTAAGTGACTAAAGACTGATTACCGCATTCTGGCATAAAGCTGTCGCATGCTGCATTTTTTTGTCAATGCTACTACATTCTGTGCAACTATTTATGTATTTTCTGTACAACTTCTGGTTTACCTATTATTAATTGCATAGATACATAAAATTTGCATTTACAGACATAGACAAATGTATCAACACAATAAAAAACACTTTTCTACGCCTTTATTTATTTATTTATGTACTTCTTTTATAGTAGGAGATCCGACAAAGGTGCGACCATCACCCATCTGTTTAATGGAAGTATATTTCCTTTGTATGAAATTTAACGTGTTAGGAAATATTTCGCGAGTGAGTTAGCTGAAAAAATTCAAAAATTATGATTATTATTTTTTTTTTTAATTTTGCACCATTTAGGTAGACCAGGGAAAAAATAGACAACCCAACGTTTTCACATTCTATAGGCTTAATACTTTCGATGGTATATAATTTGTTCATTAAACAAATGATTACAGAATTAAAAAAATAATAATAATTTTTGAATATTTAATTAAAAACATCCTGGCAAGAACTCTTTCAGCCAACCCACTCGCAAAATATTTATTAACACGTTAAATTTTATAGAAAAAATATTTCATCCATTAAACAGATGGGTGAAGGTCGTGCCTTTGTCGGATCTTAAAGCATAAACAAACGGCAGGGTTGATCTGGATAAACTCGGGAATTAACTGCAGTTGATCCAGATTAAGTCCGAGTTAATCCGGATCAACGCTGCCGTCTGTTTAAGCTTTTAGACTATAAGTGTACTCACTACGATATCAGATAAACTGACCGCGAACATGGAATGAATAATACGTTTTGCCATAAAATTTTCGTTTTTGTGATATCGAACACCGTCTTCAAAAGAGTCACAACTCAAAATTTGGCATTTTTGAGATTATGCGCTAAAAATGTACACAGAGCTTTTTCTTTACCTTTCAGCAAAAGCTGGAGCAAATTTTTGTTATAATTTGTTAAAAAAAGCATAAGTTGAAGTCGCCCTTGCTCATATGATTATCATGTGCTAGTTTTTCACATTTTCTGACAAACGTATTATTTTGCGTTGTGACTCTTTTGAAAACGGTCTGCGATATCTTCTTAGTGGTTGTATAGCCATAGCTAATTGGCGGTTTAAGACGACGTTTCACGTATCGAAAAGTTCTTTTCAACATCATTCGCTTAGCCGTATTAGGGTTTCGGCGATCCCACGCAAAATTTTGTGAATTAACTATTACTATAACAAAAACTATACATATAAGTAAATCAAAGTTTCAAACTTTGTACAAAAAAAAAAATATATATATATTAAATTTAAATTTAATTTAAAGGGATTTTAATGATTGTTTTGTTTGAATTAAGAATAATTTTGCCCAACTTCCAAGATAGAGGGTGTCCAAATAAAGTAGGGTCACAACATTTTTTTCCCCAGTTTGAGTTAGTGTCTAAGTTATAAGGGTGTCCAACTTTATACATAGGTGTTGCTGTAACAATTTTAAGGCAAAAAGAAGCTTTTCCATGTTTGAGGTTAGGTTCGAAGCATTTTTCCTTTGTTTTTAAAATATGTATTTCAAACCTTTATATTTGATTTTTGAATTTTTACAATGTATTTATACATACATAAGTACATTACTTGCACACTCTACATAAAACATAAAATACTTATTTTAAGGCAGATACATACATATGTTCCTGAAACTTAGCACACTTTAATTTTTCCATAGGCGATGGCTTTTCTTGTTCTTGTTCTCTGTTGAATATATGTAATTCTGTGTATACAATATTAGTTTTTTACTTTTTCCTTTCGATTTTGTGCGTTCCTACCTTATTCTGTGTAACCTACTTGTACTTAAATACATTGCGTGTAACAATAAATATTTGCTTCTGCTCCACTTGCAATGTAAAACCGCCATGTTAATCGAAAAATTATTGCGATCCACAATTTTAGGAGTGGATTGGAAATCGCTAACTATACCGGCTTGTTTGCCAATCACCACTGATTATTTCCCAGATAAACGTTCTCTACATAATGATTACGTTATATCTGATTACACTCTGCTACCTGACGATGTAAATTTCGATTATGCCAATAGTCGTGCCGTATATCGTAAGCCTCTGTCAACGGAGGAGGTATTTCGTGAAATTGTGTCACAACGATTGGCGCAAGGCTTCCAGTTGATCGTGCTTGAGGAGAAGAACACTCAACCAGCGCAGGCTCCCTGTTGTGGTGGTTACAAACAGCAAAAACCTTCAACGGTTTTGGGCATGAAGGCGCCAACGGAAATAATGAAGGAATATTTACTCTCAATCGGTAGAATATTTCATCGAATAACTTTAAGTGGATCTGTGATAACTGTTACTGGATATCGACCTAGGTAAGTTATTTCTTATACATATGCTGCATAAGGGAATATTTTTCTCAAAGCGTTTTTAGACCTAAATTTATACTAAACTATAATTTGTATTCTAACTAAACAACTCAATGTGGCCAGAAAAAAAAAATAAAATTTACAGTTTGGCAGAAAGGTTAAGTTAAAAAAAAAACGTTTGGTCCCAAATCTACTGTGCATTAAATATCATAAATTTTAATATATAAAATTTTTTGGTATTCTAGACATCCATATCCACCGATTAATGTTGACTATAGATATCGTTTTCATGCACCTCAACATGAGACTTATGAAATATCAGGTGTTAATTTTACTACGGAAAAATTAGAAAATTTCAATTGGAATTATATGGATCATTATATATGTACACGTGGTGACAGGGATTATCCATTAATGGAGGTAAAAACCTTCGCCGTTTAGTTTGCTCCCACCATAATTTCTTCAAATTGAAATTCGTTTCTCATTGTCTTCTAGAGCCTTAAATATTGGCGTTATCGTATGTACTTGCTGCCCATAGATAATTTGGCGATGAAAAAGATCATAGAATATGGTAGTCAACGTTGTGATATTTACACTGATTTGGCTGTGGATAATACAAAGAAACAAGTCGAAGATTTCGTGCGTCTCATGGAAGTGCATATAAATAAAGTGAAACGTCAGCGAGTACATGTAAGCCAGTATCGGGGATATTAATGTTGCTCGTTAACTATTCCCAGTTTTCTTGCTTCTTACATACATATACATATCTAACTACTAAATACACAACTTTGCTTTAAAAAGTTTACATGTTTATTATAATCGATTTTTTTTTTGTGAATTTCTTGAAAGCGGCAACTAATTATTGAGTACAGTTACTTATACATACACACATATCGCAAGTGATTATTTTATTTAACTGATTTAATTTTTTTCTTATCGCTTTTTTATTCCCTTAATTGCTAATATGTATTTATTTAAATAATTTCTTTTTTTTTATTTCTTATTTCTGCATTTTTTATATTTTTCCCATTTTAACTGTAATATAATTAAAATTAAGATAAGACACAATTATCGTTTATAACAAATGAAAAATAGATGTTATTAACAGCTAAGGAAAAATTGTGGTCTGATAAACCACATATCCCTACATACAAGCGAAATTTTTGTCTGACATATCTACGCATCTACGCCGTTGACGGTCGGCTTTAGCCTTTCACCGTAGCCGATGCTCAGAAAGCTGATTCCGCGGCGGGTCGCCCTTTTTGTTGTGTGGATTGTGCAAAGCGCGCTTTAATTCCAGACAATATTTTGCATCGAAGTTGATGCGAGGAAAAATAGTTTCCTTGGATAAAAAGTTTATCTTCGCCTTTAAAAAGAATAGTAGTTTTTAACCTACCTCAAGGGGGTGGTCCCATCCTAATTTAGTTTAGATCCGATAATTGGATCGTGAAGAAATTAACGACAATCTTAAATTTGTATATGAGAATTGAGGTCGGTTTTTTTTTTGCTTACAAATTACTTGTTTATGTCAAAAAAAAAAAAGACAAAAAGCAAAGAGTTTACTTTTTTAAGTCGATTTTGAGGTCGTTCTCGAGATATTTGATATTGTCACCTTTTTGCAAAATCATACACTGTGCGGGTGTAGTGGAGAACCGTGTTGCCGAGATATCCATAAATTGGACAACAGTCGACTAACTAGGGCTTCACTCGGTTCATTTATTAGTTACAGTATTCCTCAGTAGATAATTTCAGGAGCTAAAAGCCCTTCCAAAAGGCCTTCCTGAGAGTCCACTCCTTTTTTATACCCGAGCGCACTTGTGCACAAGGGTATTATAACTTTGTTCACATAACGGTTGTTTGTAACAGGCAAAACGAATCGAGATAGATATAGACAAATGTATACATAAATCAGAATGAAAAGAGAAATCGATTAAGCGGTGACTGTCTGTCCGTCCGTCCGTCTGTGCACACGATAACTCGAGTAAAAATTGAGATATCTTAACGAAACTTGGTACGTGTACTGATTTCTGGCGTAGGACGGATGGTATTGAAAATGGGCAAAATCGGACAATAACCACGCCTACCTCCCATATAACGGTAATTTTCAGAAATACGAAAACTGCGATATTTTAGTAATTACTGAAGATTATTCACTCAAAATTGATATTTACAATAAGTTTTAGACAAAAAATAAGAATATTTTAAATTTTTGGAAAATGGGCGTAGCCACGCCCACTTATGGTTAGATGTGTTTATCTTGGTAACCGCTGCACCAATTTCTTTCAAACTTGGTGTGGTTATTGTATTTGCCCCATAGAACCAAAACGCCGAAAAGTTTTGAAATCGGACTAAAATTGCGGCCGCTTTTCATATAACGGTAAATTTCAGAAATGCTTGAAACTGCGATATTTCGAAATTTAAGGACGCCAATGTACTCAAAACTGATACACCCAGGCTTACAATGTAGCGGTAGCTTTCAGAAAGGTGAAAAACATATATTTAATACTTGCGCCGGGTATTTAATGTTCGGCTCCGCCCGAACTTAGACTTTCTTACTTGTTTTTTTTGTAATGAGTTATATAATTTGAAAGGCTTCTGCTTTTGCTACCCATAGAAGGAAAATTGAAGGTGGGCTTTTGGTGGGCGAACATCAGAAGGCCATTTGGAGGAGTTCTTCTAAAGCTGCTTCTTTAATTTATAAAAATTATACATTTTAAGTTATCTTTTTAGGTTCATAATTAATATGGCTTCAGAATGGTTTCACTTAAGTAGGGCTACCAAAATTTTCTCTGGATCTTTACTAATGGCTCAAACTTCAAATTAATATTTAGAAAGTTTCACCAACAACTTTTAAAATATTTTGTCTGCAAGCCCAAAAGTAACCTTTATTCGAGCCCTAACCGCCAGTAAGCGCATTTTGTTTTTTCTTCAAAAGTTGCACTTCCCCATCAAAAAAAAAAAAAAAAAAAATCGCTTACTTTTTTTTTGCGGTAAAGGCGCGTGGATATCTGTAGCAAGCTGCTTGCCACGATTTTGTTTATCGTTCTATATTTGAATTTTCATTTGTTATAAACGTTACTGCTATATATCATCATATCTACATTTGTATGTACATATCTACTTATTTTATGTACTTAAGTACCTACACATGTTTATGTATATACATACATATGTATATTGTTTTATCCAACTACACTTAATACATAAATTAAATTTATTGACTTCTTCAAGTGAACTTACATAATTTCTGATATTTTTCCAAATTGTTGTTGCTTTCGGCTTATGTATCGAGTTGGAATCATTTACAGGATAGCCCCACCGCACAAAGTCATTTAACACGACGGCGTCACAGTACCAGCATTATTTCCAGACCTCAACCCAATCAGGTTCTTTACTTAAATCTTTACAATCTGCCTTGCATACAAATATATATATAGATAAATATATATAAAAAACATACCTACATACAAAATTTCATGCATACATTTCGTTTACAATAGTATATTAAATACTCCCAAGTCATTCGTGCTTGCAATTTGTTTTTCAACTGCTGTACTTTTTCTATATAGTACAATTCGTAGACTATCCAATAAACTAAATTTTATATGTACAGTTCTTAAATACAACTTGTATTTTGAAAACATTGAATTGTGTAGCGAAAATGTCATTTTTTTTTTTGCTTTTAATTTTGTACATTTATAAAAATTCCCTTTTTTTACTATTAAAGCTTAAACCCTGTAACCATTTAACATTCGAAACTAGATATAACGAAGTACAGTTTGAATAGTTTGAATAGTAAATTTTGTAGTTCATCTCAAGTAAAAAAAAGATTTCTATACATATTTTGAAATTTCGATTTTTCGATATTTTGCTGCATTAAAATGATGTATGTAATTTTTTCTAACGTACTACGCTCTCGAACCTGAAGGGACTGGTGAATTCGCCCTTTCGTGAACGTGTTGGCAGCAATCGTCTACCGGAGAAACGACCAAGGTTCTTATACTGCCTGTTTTTATTACATACATACATAACGTACCTAAGTTGTTAATGGTTTTTTTTTTTGCACACATACTTACGTCTAACAGTATTGTGACAGCACTTAACGCATTAAATATCAATATCACTTAAATATTTGATTCGAATGCTTCTTTGTCGCTTCTGAGGTGTTTGCTTTCATCCAATTTACATAATTATGCACCTAATGCGCTGTTATTATCGCTGCCGTACTTAAATATGTATCAACATCTGCAATTGTATAATTTGTCTTTTTGATTTTCCGCTGCAATTTTATGAAGACATTGTGTTTCAACATGTATTTTCTTTTATCAATTAATTTATGTACATACATACATATAAATAATCTTAAACATTTATTTATAATTAATTCTATGGCCGTTCAGGTTTATTATTTTTATAGCTACAGTCTCTTTGGTATTACCATACTACATAAATATTAGTGCTGTTCAGGATCTTGGTGCACATGTTCGTGGATTTGCATATTCGTTGCATTTGTAAATTCCCAACAATAAAATGCATACGGTTGCCATGGCAGCAATCAACAAATTTGCAAATGCAATTCCAACTGCAAATCCATAACCATTTCCACAACATCCTGAACAGCCCTATTGTTTTCTTGATTTAATATGATTTAATTTGATTTCTACATTTTAATTTGGTTCTCGGTTTTCAGCATGTTACATCTAGATTTAATGAAAAGCATCATCCACTATTAATGTCAGCACAGCAAAGGTTGGTCAAAGCGCAACTTTTCAGTTTTGTCCGATTCGTTATTGCATTCCATAGCACTCGACTAATATCGCAAATTCTAACAGTAGTTGTAGCTAGTGTACTTGTGAAAACAAAAAAAAAAAAACGTTCATGCATATTTGCTGGCAGATAAAATTGTAATAATTTGTATTTCTGTATTGTATAACAATTAAAATTAGAAAAAAATGTTAAACTACTCCAGCGCGTATGCTAAACAGAGTGTCCTTAAAAGAACTGACGATAATGTTTTAGACGCTTCGTAGATGTTTCGGCTGCCTAGCTTATAAGCTGACGCACCGGACCGGATTTTTATTATCGATGTACAGTAGGCATATGACTTTTTTCTAAAATTAAATATACCTATGAACAGCGGATGGCGAATGATGAAAACAACGTTTTTGTCAAAATTTGGTAAAAAAAAAGTTCTCATATACCGGAAAAAATGTTTACTAAAAAATTACGTACATAAGTACTACATTAGAGTGGTCCTACTTTTGTATAAGGGGAAAATATGTCATCGTAGAAAACGGAGCACCCCTTTAGTTTGTTTTCCTTTTGGTATTTGTTATATCCAGAGTTGGGATTTTAAGGCATTTGCCTATTTTGTCGGCTTAGTCGTATCAGTAAACAAATTAAAAAATCACACGTTTCATGTCTTCCATGATTAAAAATTTTAATTTAAATTTTTGCCTTTTTCTGCCTTTTCTGCATGTTTTGTTTTTTTAAGATTTATCTTTTCATAAAAGTTCGCTTCGTAGAAGTTCGCTGTATTTTACCAATCGTGTGACTACAAAAAAATTGTCCTTCCACTTTTTTATTTATTTTGTACCAACAAATCTGTACAAAAGTACCAATAGTGTGACACTGAATTAAAATGAGCAATATTAAAAAAAAAAAATTCAACAAAATTTCGTAAAAATTTCGAGATTTTTTAATTAGATTTAGAAAGATTCTGAGTATGTAGTTTTGTAGCCCATTGAATTCTAGTAAAAGTTTCAAATGGCTAAAAATTGTGGTTGACTTTTTAGAATTCTCAAAAAAGCTCGACATTTTTACAAAAGTTGTTGAATATTGCAAAAAGTAGGAAACTTTGATTTACACTAGTTTTTATTAAAGAATGGTCTATATTTTTATAAAAAAAAATAACCAAAATTAAATAACAACAAAAATAATATGTTTAAACTTGGCAAAAAGTTGTGCGGCTATAATTTTTTTACCACTATATGTAAATGCCTTCTTTGGGAGCTCATTTGCCTTTTTTCAAGTTTTCGGTACCTTAAAATTCTAACCCTGGTTATAGCTATACCAACTTTCAACATTCTATTGTAAGCAATCAAGGGCGCTTACTGCCTTTAAAATGCGCTACTGACTCCCTTTGAAACTGACCAAAAAATATTTATGACATGACAACTGAAGCCTGTAATATTTTTCCAGCTAATTTAAGCTTGAAATGATCTTTGGTTGCTTAAACAATTGTTTTGGTTATATATGTATGTGCAATACATTTCTAGAGTAAAGTATAAACATTTTATCAGCATCCTTTAAATTTATACTTAGAAATGTAAAATTTGGTGTCAGCACCTCTTTCGGTAAGAGGAAACATTTTGGAAGGTGCCCCGAAACCTATCTCGTAAAATTTTTTTTTTGACCACTCTAGTGTACTTAGTATGTATGTATGTATGTATACATACATGGTTGCTAATTTTACATACATACATGAATATAAATAATTTTTGAGATATTTTTTCAAAGTATTACCGCTTTTTTTGAAAAAATTGCCCAAAATCAACGGTAAGTCTTAGATACATCAAACTTGCTGGGCTACAAAACTGCACCCTTAAAAAATTAAAAAATATATGATCGAAATTTGAAAATTTCCAAGCAATTTTTTTTAATTTTCCTGAGTTTTACAACGAGCTTTGAAATGGTATTTTTATGTGTTTTTATATTTTTATATAAAAAAAACTAGCGGATAAAATAAAAAAAAATTGTTGCATATATTGTGAAAAATTCTCTAGGCAAATACTTTTGGCCTTGATTGTATGTGTGTACATACATATATGTATATGTACACATTTTTTTCCAGTACACATTTTTTTCTCGGAGTTTAAGCCAAATTTTACCAAAAACGTTATTATTGTTGGTTTTTTTATCACTCCTCATTCTCTCCTCATAGTTATGTTTATTTTTTAAAAAAGTCCTATGCTTAATATACAGTCATGCAAACTGTAATGCTGATTTTTATTGCGATTTGATTTTTTTTATTTACTATTCTAATTAATTTCGTTCATTTCTCAGACAGCCTGTTTAGTAATTGCCTGCCTTATTGTTCTTTTTATCAGAATATTTAAATAATTCAACTGTTTTTCCATATCAGCTTTGTCTCGAAACCTGTAATGAAAGCCGATCGTGGTCGCATATCACCAGCAGCAGATGCCGCCGCAATCACATTGAATACCGATTTAAACAACAGAGATGATCATGATGACGGGTAAGTAAAATTTTTAAGATTTTCGATAATTTGAAGGATTATTAAAAAGGCGGGAGTACCAGGTACTCATGAAATTTGATATGTAAACATCTGTATGGTTAGGTTAGGTTAGAATGGTGCCGGGAAAACTATTACGCCCAAGAAGCAGCTAAGTGCCCCAACTAAATCTAGATCGCGTTGACTGATTACTGAATTTAAAAGCGTCCTACACTCCTTGATTAGTTTCGATTTTCTATCTGAGAAAATGACTACGCGCTCGCCGTGACGTAAACCACCAGGTTCTAAGAGCCGGCAGCCTTCGGCTATAGCGTCTACTTCTGCCTGGAAAACATTTGCAAATCGGGCAGATGAACTGATCTTTTTACTCCCTGGGACTCAGAGTAAATGCCTGACCCAACTCCGCGTTCCATTTTGGAGCCATCAGTGTACAGATGATGTATCCAGGTAGAGATATCAAGTGCCCCGTCTCAGTCGGCTCTCGACGGTAGAATGACCCCGAAAGGCCTGGGAAACTCTACTTTAGGTCGTATGTAATCGGTAGCCAGTCTCAACTTAGGTGGCAATCGAGAAATTATACTGATACGCCTGATCGTTCTTTCTTTTCATATACCCAGTTCTCTGAGTAGCCGATAAGGTTGCGGTAGGCCTTATGTGAAGATCTATAGGAAATATGTTTGTAATAGCATTGAGGGCATCAGTAGGGCAAGTTCTCATCGCCCCTGTGGTTCCGATACATGCAGCCCTCTGAACTCCGTCCACCATACCAGATCGGAAGTATAACCACTGTGTACAGCCAGTAGTAGTAGTAGGCAATGCTCACTTTATTTACTCTCTCTTCAATATTTATTTTTCCAACTTAGCTTAGGATCCAGTATGACTCCCAGATACTTCGCTTGTTTAGATAATCGTAGGCTTTGTCCATTCAGCTTTGATAATTCAAAGTTAGAGACCTTATTCCTGTCCGTAAAAATTTCATTAATTCTATTTTCTCTGGGTTCACTTTAAGGCCACATTGCCCGGCCCATCGGCATAGCTTTGCTAAAGTTCCATCCATGATGTTACTCACCACAGATGGGAATAATCCGGTTATTAAAATCACTACATCGTCAGCGTAGTCCGCTACTTTTACTCCCCCCTGGTTGAGCTTGAGTAGTACTGGGTTGATGGTGTTAAGCCATAAACTAGAAGAGTTCACTCCACCTTAAGGAGTGCCTCTACTAACATTCCTTATTAATGCGTTGCTTTCAAGTTCAGCTGAAATCGTTCTGCTGCGAAGCATCGCGGACGCCGAGCTCGTCCAGGGATTTTTGGAGAGCTTCTACCCGAATGTTGTTAAAGGCTCCTTCTATGTCCAGGAAAGCTGCCAGAATATATTGCTTAAAATCAAGTATCCTATCGACTGTTCTAACGACTTCATGAAACGCCGTCTCAGTAGATCGTCCCCGTAAATATGCATGATGTGCTATAGACATGCCATCGCCGTGGAAATACCCCCGGGCGTGCGCGTCTAGAACCTTCTCGAAAGTTTTGAGAACAAAGGAAGTTAAGCTAATTGGTCGAAAAGCTTTGGCGTAGACGTGCCCTCGCCTGCCAGGTTTTGGGATGAAAACCACTTTCACTCCACGACAAGGGGACGTAGTTAAGGGCTATACATCCTTTGAAAATTTACAAAAGCCATGGCATGATAGCATCCTCCACCGTTTATAACATGATAGGGATGATACCATCTGGCCCCGGGCCCATGATATTTTAGGATTTGTGAAAATTGACTGCTATGTGCAGAGCTCCAGCATACCTTCTTGGAAGCGGATTGAACACTTCTTCCGAATTACTTGGAAAATTAGTGTTAACAAGCAACCTGAGTGTTTCTTCCACGGACACTGTGGGTACATCGTCTGTACTACGGAGAAGTGATAGACAGGAATAGTCCTTCGCCAATAGCCTACTCAGCCTGGCGTTTTCCTTTATACTCTTCAGCGACTCGCAGTGGCTCGCTTATGCTGCTTTTTTAGCGTCGAATCTCACTTTTATACTTTCTCAGAATGTTTTGGTATGGCTTCCAAAATTTAGATTTGTAACAGGAGTTGAACACTCTCCTAGTTTCCTTTATTCGTCTAGATAAGTCACTATTCCACCAAGGTGGAAATGTCTTCTTTGAGTAT